CTCTCCATCCATGAGCCATGGGCCAAACCTCCACGGAGACTCAGGATCTGGTTTCCAATGAGCCTCCAGTGGAGGGGGGGTGGGTGAGGGGTGAGGAGGGGGGACGGGACGGGGCTCCCACCGGCAGCAGCTGTGCTTCCAGGCTGCACTGGAGCCGATCACTGCAGGGCAGAGGGAGGCAGCACGGAGGTGATGGAGGCTCCTGCCACCGCAGCAGCAGCGGCTGATCCGTTACTGACAAAGACTTCCTCTGGGACATGGATCTCCTCCCGCTGCCTCCCACCGAGCTGCAGGAGTAGAATGGAAAGACAGAGGGAGGGCGAGGAAGAGGAGGAGGAAGAGGAGGAGGAGGAGCTGCTTTATCTACCGAAGGAATTTTCAAAGTCCAGCCTGAGGACAAAAGGTAAAAAAAAAAAATCAATTTTAGAAAAGTTTTTTTCTATTATTTAAAACGTTACTAATTTATGACTTTTACCAAACATTCACATCAAACTTCTCTTCAGTCGTTTTTTTTGTTCAAACTTTTCATCTTCTTAATTCAACTGGCGATAAAATCACATTTGCTTTAGTTTTTTTTTTGCAATAATCCTGAACCGAACACTGACCGTAGGTTGGAACTCCTTGACTTTTGTCTCTCCTCTAATCCATCCCTTGGTGCATCAACAGCAGCCTCGGCTGTGACCTCTGACCTTGCAGACGCAGGAGAATTGAATGTTTCCGTCTTGTACGGGCAGCGTGGGAGGAACAAGAAATACATCTGACCGGCGTGAGGATCCACACGCGATCAGTTTCCTGGAATTAGAAGAAGGACAAAGTCGACAAGGATTCAAGGGTTTTCAAAAATGACAACTCAAGGACCTGGAGACATAAATAAATAAATAAATAAATAAAAAGAACCAAACTAGACTGAACTGACGAATTAATAAAGTTTGTGCTTCAGAGGAAAACAGTTAATTTCTGTGAATAAACAATGTGATAATTTGAATCTATGAATAATATTTAATAAATGACGAATAAAAATAAATGAAAAGACTACTTAATTAAATAAAAAACTCATTCAATTTGCAGTTATTTTTTTTAATGAATACGTGCAGACTGTTTTGATTTTGGATCATAGTCAAAATAACTTGGACTAAATTTGTCAGCGGTTCGTTTTCTGAAGGCTCTTCAGTTCATCTGCTGACGTTTGAAGCAGCCTTTTAGTCGTGCGACAGGAAATGACAAGAGCTTTAGGATCGAAAATCCTCAAATCGTGACATGACAACAGTCAGACTGAAGCTGTAAAACTGTGATCACTGCAGTTTTAAAGACACGACAGAGGAGAGAGTGTTGTTTCTCATGTTTGGATTAATTTTCTCATCAAACGTGCTGTGATTTCTGTCTCTGAGGCGCTTTGGTTTTGGGGTTTTTTTCTGCGCAGCTTCATGAATATTTGGCTGTGATTCTTTCTGTGAACGGCAGCTTTATTTAGTTTTACTACACAGAACGAATTTCTTTTATTCACTGCCGCTGGTTTTCTTTTCTCTTTTAACACTGCAGTACTTTTCAGAGGTCGATATAAAAAATTAATGGAGAAAATAATCACTGCTGCTGCTGCTGCCCCGGCGACTCGTTTAATGCCTCTGTTTTTTTTTGTCGTAACTTCATCAGGTTTTTTTTTTGTTTGTTTTTTTTTAAACTTTCTGAGGTCAAATCCTGAACGTGTTTCAAAAAGGAGGAAAGTCGTCGCATTTTTAATTATTATCAATGTGGATTCAGGAATGTTTGTCATTTTAAAAACTTCATGCTGTGTGTAAACGACGTAGCTTTTCATATGTTTCTTGACATTTTTTCAATATAAATGTACATTTGGGTATTTCTGACCTTTACATTCAACGGTGCAATAATATTTAGCACTTCTTTGTTTTTGATGCCAGCAAATACCCCCGACGCTGGATCAGGATCTAACTATGCATTTTGGAACAGAACATGTTTTTTTATTTAAAACCAATGAATGTTTTCAGTACGACGACACAGTCATTTCCTGACGTTACATTAGCATTAATTGCCCCTCTGTGAAGACTAGAACGTGGGATTTAACATCAAAGTGAACCCATTTCACAGCTACCTGTTGTTCTAACAACATAATAAATACAAACATTAAACAGTTTCATTAATAAAATAAAAAAATCATACTCACCCGCTGAGGGTTATTACTGAGGATCAAAGGCCAAACCTGCCGAAAGAAAGAAGAAAGAAAAAAACTACAGAGCTTTAAGAATTAAAATGTTAATGGCTTTAATTAATTTATGAAGATTTAATTAGCTCAAAAAAACAAAACAAAACACATTTTATTACATGTGCAAAGTAACCAATAAATCCACCGTCCAGAAACAGTTCTAGTTCCACTGGATCGTAACATCTCATCATCGACTCCCAGCATGTGTCTGCAGGTGCTTCAACCTCCGGTCAGCGGCCCGGCTTGTGTCGGTGACCAGCCTGACCGGTCTGACTGACACAACAGTCAGGACTGTAGACTGATCCAACGACTGAAGTCTAGAAAGAACCAGGTTCTACCAGACACAGAGTTACAAAATCACACAACATTTTTTTTTTTACATCTTTAAACTTTATTGCAACAAATCCAGAACCAGGAGAACAAGAGTACCGGGAGAGACCACCGACAGCAGAGCGCCATCTCCTGACCACGGTCGACTCAGCTCTGGGACAGAACCATGACAGAGAAGGAAGTTCCAGCAGCTTCTACACCCAACACTCTAATATTCATCTTGAGATCACGTTTGTCTTTGAAAGTGCTTCAGATCAACTGGTGTAATTCGATTTTTTTGTCTTTTTTTTCTCGTTGCATATTTAAGATGAAAATGTTAAATATTTTTTTCCTTTACTATTTTATACGTATTGCACATCGAGAGACGATTCAGGATGAAGACAACATCATCGTCATCATCATCTGCTCACATGTTCAGTGTGAAAACACTATCATTGTGAGGTAATAACCAGGTGTGTCCAACGTCCGGTGCAGGGTCCACTCGCTGCACCACATCTGTTCGGCCTGACCTTTAACACTGGAGACTGTTTTGTTTAAATCTTCACAACAGTCACTGGTGTTAACGAAGACGGACTTCTTTGATGATTATTAATTTGACTAACGAGACTCGGTTGCTGTGAACAACGTAAAGCCTCGGCTTTTTTTCTTTTTTTTTTTCCCCTTTCGCTTCACGATTCCATTCACCGCCTGAATGACAATCGATCCCAGTTGTTTTCGTGTGTTGTCGGTGCAGAGAGCAGAACACACACACACACACACAGCAGGTGTTAAAATTGATTTCCTGTTTGGTGCGACTATAGTCACAGCTGATTGGACGAGCCTCGTCTGGATTGTACTGTACGTCTCCAACATTTGGTAGAACCTCAGACCTTCTGATCACCTCATCACGGTCCCTATCTCCTCATCCTGTCTCCTTCCTGCTGCTTCATCTGATTTTCCCCGTTGTTAGTTTTTCTCATCTCTGGTTCCTTTTTTCCATTACCAGGTTTTTTGTTTTTGTTTTTTTTCCTCTTTGGCTTCAGAAACCAGTCGGAGCCGCTCCGATGGTTTGGCCCAGTGTTTCTTCTGGTTCCCATCACCAGTAAACACGTTTTATCAGCGGCATCCACACCAGGAAACAGCTCCACCTACAGCCTGTTCCTGTTTCTGGTATAAACTGGAGGAAAACATTATTTTGTTTCTGTTTTTGTTTTGTTTTTTCCCCATTTTCAAACCAACAGATCGATGAGTGTCCAGACAAACAGACAAACTGGAGTTCAGGTTTGAGTTTCTGCAGCTCTGGGTCCAGGTCTCACAGCGACTGATCAACACTGACTCTCTCTACTACACTACACTTGTCAATCACTCCTTGTTTTCCTGCTTATACTCCAATATGAGACCGACTTCAAACTATTTTGTCCACCTGCTTTCTTGTGACTTCATGTCGTCATGGTTTTTTCATGTCACGACTGTTGAGTTCATAATTTAAAAAAAAGTACATGACATACTGCGGTGTCCAATCACCAGAGTTATATTTACTACAGGGAGGAACATCACACAGAGCCAAATAAGAGCGCTGTGCAGGCGTAGAGGGATTATAAGACAGTATAGTAGGGGGATTACAGTAGTAGAATATTCTGATTCAGCCAGAGCCCGAAAAATGACGAAAAAGGCACTTTAAGGACCCCTAGAGGTCAAGTCAGCAGTGTGCAGGCACAGAGGCATTATCAGAAATTGAACACCTGAGGTTCCTTAAAGTTCCAGAACTGTATTTGTGGAGCAGAAGCACAGACTACTGTCAGGTGAAGGACCCCTAGAACACCGACGGCTGACTCCTATTGGCTGACATGTAGTAACCTCTGCAGACAGTAGGGGCCAACACCTTCTACCCCCCCGCCCCACTCCACTCCCCTGATGGAACGGAGGTTCCAGGTTCAGATGAAGTGACGACGTGTCCCCACTCTGCCTGAGAACATGAAGTGTGTAACCTGTGTGTCACTGTTCTTGTGTGTGCTGCTTCTCTCCCTCCGTCTCCGTGTGTCTCCATCAGGGGTCTTATTGGACGTGGTAGACCATACAGCGCCAGGGGGGCAGGGGGGGCACCGTGGTTGTCAGAAGGGGTTTTTACACAACGCTGCTCTCCGACAGGGGACATTTCAGGAGCTCCCAACTGAAGAAAATCTCCAACACTACCGAGATAAACGACAATCTATCAACGTCCCAGAGAGTCACCTGTGAAGCCAGCCCCCAAAGACCCCAAAGACCCCCTCCCTGAAACACCCCCACTAATACCTGTGATGATCCTTAAGAGAAAAGAGACTTAGAGAAGAGAAACACACACACGGTCAAAGCGACTGCAGCAGCTCTACAGCAGTAAAAACTCCCTGACGACTGACGTGTCACAAGTCACATGACTGAAAATAACTTCATTATTATTATTATTAATTAAACTGACTCCAAACTTTCTCTTTGAAAATGTCAAAACCAATGGTTTTAACAAAAAACAGCAGCTGTCGGACCACCTGCTCGGTAACTTTTAGCTACTAATGCTAGCATATCTTTTAGGCTAGCGTTAGCGCTAAGGCACATTACAATTTTACCAACTACATTCTGCTACATTTTAGCCTTTCTCCAAGTCATTTTAAATTCATTTTTGGACCTAGGTCTTGTAAATAATTTAAACCAATCACATCACAGTGTTAGCGCCATCCATTAACTCTTAACTTTCTTTTTCTTTACTTCAGTGCGTTCATAACTTTGCCAGGTTTTACTGTTTTATGCTACATTTGCTGCTAGCCTGTAGCATTTTCAAGAGTAAATTAATTTGTGTCAGTGTTATTAATAAAAAAGTGACGGTTGTGCTGTAAAAATTCCTGTTTTGTCCTCACAGAAATTGATTTGTCAAAATTATATTATAATAAAATAAAACAAATTCCCTGACCTCAGAGCGAGGGTCTGGTTCAGAAGTCTCTGCAGCAGCGTTTGAACAAATAATCTAATAATTTTTTTTTTTTTTCCAGTACTTTTTAGGACCAAAACTATTTGCACAGAACTCCGGTTACGGAAGTTTGAAATTAGCTTTGCTGCCGGCTCTTCATCCAACCTCCTGTTGTTTCCTGTTTTCAAACTAACTTTAACAACAAACTCTTCAGTCTGTGTGTGTGTGTGTGTGTGTTCACATATTACCGGCGCCCACATTAGTGTGTGAGTGTGTTATTACTCTGCTCTCCTCTGTTTTAACAGACTCAGTTTTCTATTTTCCAGTTCTTGTGTGTCCGTCACCACCGTATTTTAACACATTTTAAACCCCTCCCCACGACCACTTCCTCTTCCACAGGATGCGTCAGGTTTAAAGTTTTACTGAGGATGTGATTTAAAAAAAAAAACTCATTCCCAGCACGTAACACACACACGTAACAGGAGTGTCAGTTATTTTGTCAAACAGAAGAAATTGAAACTCATTCCCAGCACGTAACAAACACACGTAGCTTCAATAATGTCAGTGTTTTCACCAAAACACCAACTGTACTGACAATGGAAGACAGGGGGCGACACCAACATGTGATTTAAAAAAAACATTTTTTCCCACTTTTGAATTCACGAGTCAACGGTCCAGGAGAACTGGAAGACATCAAACGCTCCCCAGTCTGACAAATGTGCCTAAAACATTTGCACAGTCATGAACGCACCAACAGCACTCTGACGTCTCTCTCCCTCTCTCTCTCTCTCTCCCTCTCTCACCCTCTCATGTCTATTTCACTTCTTTGTTCCTTTTTTTCTCTCTTCCTTCTTTTCTTTTTCTCTCCTTCTTGTTCTCTTCTCACCCTCTCCTCCCCCCCGGGGGCCTTCTGTTCAGATGAAAAGGTCACGTCAGCGCCACCTCAGTGTTGAAACCAAAACGCTGCTGGGAGTCAGAGTTCACGGCTGTTTGAGGACAAGTGAACTTAAAGTTGGAGAAATGTGTTAATGACGAGCGAAACCAAACGGTCGACGTTAGTACGGTCACGACAACGGTGAGGAGTAAATATGGCACTCATGTGACCCACGTAGGCCAATGAGCTCTGATTGGCCAGTTCTGTACCACAGCTCAGCCAATAGACAGAGACTTTCTGGAAACACCCACATTTGTTTAGAGGTACTGAGGGGACACCATGTCAGTTAGAGATGAACCAGCCCACGACATGTGGCCCACTTCTGGAAGCTATCTGGGAAACGTTCAGGTCCGAGTCCACGTTACCAAAGTTCTTTTGCATATCTAGTTATTTCAGGTCTACGTCCACAAAACAATGATTACAGTCAGAGTCGAGTTTGGACTGAGTCGGCACTGAAAGTCCAAACCACAGTGGAAGAACAAGTCTGGTGTCCAAGTCCAAAGTCTTGGTCCAAGTCACAAGAACCCGGGCTTTAGAGTCAAAGTCCAGTTTACTGAGGTCAGGACCAAGTTGAGTTCCCAAAAGATTCCAGAGACGGAGTCACTGAAGAACTCCAGTGTAGTCCATGTGGCTTCAAAGTTGAGTTCCCAAAAGATTCCAGAGATGGAGTCACTGAAGAACTTGTCTTAAGTTCATGTCCCAGAAGACAAACTGAAGTAGAGACATGTTCAAGATTTGAACTCCAGGTCCAGGTCTTGGAGCGTCCTGGACTGAAACACGACACTCAAAGGTACTGACTCGACAGACGACAGATCTGGGAGTAGGGATTTAGCCGTTCCTCAGGGAATCTTTGGTTTTAGGAGACAAGATCTGCTCAGAGAGGTTGGACCAGACTCCGTCAGCATCTCCTCCTCTGGCTCCTCCAGGCCGGGGTTGGTGCTTCTTAAATCCCTGCGGGGCTGGAGGAGGGAGGGGCGCTGTGGACCTGGGTGCTGAGGTCCAGAGTTATAACAAGGAAGTCCTCTGGATGGGGGAGGAAGCTGCTTGGTCTGGGTCTGCAGAGGGCCAAAGCTGCCAGCGCCCCCCGGCTTGAGCGACGGAAGGGACACTCGCTTGTGTAGACGCGGAGGCTGCAGCAGGCGAGGGCAGGTCAGAGCAGCAGTGGCGGCAGAAACTAGAGGAGCAGCGTTTGGCAGCATCACAGCGGGGGCTCTGACCTCACGCTGAGCCGCAGACTGAGCCACCGAGACCGGACCGTCTCCAGGATTTACCGCCAGCGGAGCGCCGGAACTCCGGGGGAGGAAATGGGAGCTGAGAAGACTCCCCCTGTCAGTGAAGGCTGGAACAGACACACCTGCAGTAAGGCCGTTTACAGCGGCCCCTCCCTCTGACCCGGTCCTGGTGACATCACTGTGGCCCTCGATGGGAGTTTTTACTGTTCTTTCCAGCAGGAGGCGCTGCTCGCTGAGGCAGGGACTGGAAAACTGTAGTACTTGATGCTGCGGGGGAAAAAAAAAGAAAAAACACAAGGCGTCAGTTGGATAAATGTTAAACAGTGGATAAAATGTCAGAGTGAAGGAAAACTGTTTTGTTTGGAATTCTGACTTTCTTCATCAGGATCCATCGATCTAGTTTTGGAAAACTCCAAGACTCTGCTGTGTCTTTAAATCTCTATCTTTTTAGTCTCCAACACAACACTTTACTTTCACCGCTCATCACTGATTCAGCACGAGTCGCGGCCCTGACTCAGCGGCGACTGCAGAAACAAGCGGAGCAGAATAACCTCGACACGATGTGAGCGCCTGACGTCTCGGGAACAGTTTGTGTTTCCTGCTGTTCGGAGGCTGAGGCGCACTCTGACAGCACGCCGGGCGGTTAACCACGTGAAACGTGGACCGACCACGGAGACGTCATCCAACGGGGGACGGCACACACCTGCTGAAACAGACCGCTGACCATCGATGTTCGTGGAGCTCCGTCGATGGTTTTGTGGCCGTTTTCAGAACGACAACAGGCTCGTGATTTCATGGAGGGGTTAGACACTAGAGGGAGCTCAGGAGCAACCGGTTAAAGACATAGATATAAAAAAAAAATGTCTTAACGACTTCAAATCAAACATGTTTCTGCCGTTCAGTTGAAGGAGTTCAGAAATATTCTACCAACTCCACCTTTAACTACAAAAAAAAATTTTCTCACGACTTCAGCATCTTCAGAAACGATACAGCACTTTTTTTTTCTTTTTCGTTTTTGCAGCCAACATAGATTCCGAGCCCTGGGTTTCTGAAGTCCATGTTCAACTGATTCCCGTGGAGCAGAACCTAAAGAGAGTAAATCCACCTGGAACCCATCTAAGGCTGCTAAAAAAGCATGAAGTTGCTTTCATCAGAAAACATGCCCAGTGAGGGGGTGAAAGGATCTCAGAGGAGGTGCGTGTAGAGCCAGCAGGTCAGACAGCTCTGAAAAAAAAAAAAAAAAAAATTCTCTTTCCCATCAGGCTGTGCATCGAGAGTGGGACTAGATCTCCGAGGTCACAGCTCCATCTCCTGGTACCCTGTCACACTGCCTCAGCTGTCCTGATGTTGAGGGTCAGACAATCTCTCT